TACATATAATACACCTGTTAACAAAGACCAAGTTGGATCCTAGGGTTACGAAAGGAATCTTTCTAGGGTACTCTCCTACACAGAAGGGTTACAAGTGTTTTGATCCTATTACCAAGAAGAAATACGTCACAAAAGATGTGGTATTTTTTGAGTCTCAATCCTATTTTCATTCTTCCCAGAGTCCTCTTCAGGGGGAGACTAGTGGGACGGAAAAGGATTCTTCTTCCCCCTCCTTTTTTGTGCCTCTTTCTGCCTCGGGCCTTCCATCTTCTCCTCCTGATCCTCCTAGTTGTAGCATCCTAGGTGAATCTAGTGAGGCTCCCATTGAACCTGTTACCACTCTTGATGCTGTAGATGTAACTGAGGACACTAGTAGGCAACAAAAAGATATAAGAATCACCTACAACAGAAGGAAAAAAGACCCTCTAACTCATGGCAGCAACCAATCGGACTCGGATCAATCTGTCTCAGCAACTCCAGGTAATCTTATCACTCATACTTCTGATTTAGATCTCCCTATTGCTCTTCGTAAATCTACCCGTTCTTGTACTATCTGACACCCCATTGCTGAGTTTGTTTCTTACTCACGTTTATCTCCTCGTTATAATTCCTTTGTGTCTGCTCTCTCTTCCGTGCATGTCCCTACTAGGTACTCAGAGGCTGTGTCTGACCCAAGATGGAGAGAGGCTATGAATGAAGAAATGAAAGCCTTAATGAAAGCAAGGACTTGGGAATTATACCAGAAGGGAAGAGCACTGTGGGATGCAAGTGGGTGTTCACTGTGAAGCATAGGGAGGACGGGTCCATTGAAAGATACAAGGCCAGACTTGTGGCAAAGGGGTTTACTCAAAAATTGAATACAAAATTTAATAATAATAATAATAAAAATAATAACAATAACAATAATAACAATAATAATAATAATAGTAATAGTAATAGTAATAGTAATAATTTTTATTGTAATTTAAAATTTCCACATGCAATGCACGTGCACATTTACTACAAGCATTTGAGCTTATTTTTAATCATATTGTTACTTTTGTTAATTTCAATTTTTATTGTAATTATGATATATCTAAAATTCAAGTAATTAATATGAAAAAAATTTCTCACGTGCAATGCACGTGCTTAATTACTAGTCCTAGAAAACACAAAAATCAGAAAAAAAAAAAAAGAAAAAGGTTAACTGCAATTCAAGGATCTGGTAATGCAATTAATAGATAAAAGGTTGGTAAGAAATTTGGGAACATGATAGACTGATGATATGCTGAAAACAAATTAGGCTTACCAGTCATATGGTTGGTTGCCCAAATCAATGATTGAAGGGTTGGAGGATGAAGTAGAAACATGAAATGCAGAGGCTTGGTTACCTAAAGTGGACACATGTAAGGTAGGAGTGATAAAAGTCTCCTCAAGTTGATGGAGAGTCCTACCATATTCTTCCAACTAATCACATAAGGAATTCAGCAATCCCTCCTTAGGGTTAGAACCTATAGAGACACCCACATAAGATGAACCACCATAAACAACATTAGTCAAACTAGAATTCTTCCTAGAATATTGTGGTTGCTTCTTCTAGAAGGACTGAAAACTCTTCGGCTTCCCAACAAGATCCCAACATGTCTCTTTAGTATGTTTGGGTTTACCATAGTGAGTACATCTTATCTTTATCAACTTCCTTTGTCTTTTTCATCCCTTCACCACCCTTTTTATTTCCATTGGCCTCCCTGGAAAAGAGAGAAGCTTGCTGCTCCCCCTTTGGAGGATTCATGGCTATCCTCCTACTTTCCTCAAGCTAAACCAAAAAGTACACTTCTTGAAATGATGGGAGTTCCTTATTCCTTAAAGTTTGATCTTGAATGGGCTCATAGCTAGGGTTATAAGACCAACTAAAAAGGCAAATACTTGCTGCTGATTCACAAGTGTCTTGTACTCTTTTGCATTTGACTCATTATTCTAGTCAACAGTTTGATAATAATCAAGTTCTTTCCACATGGAGGTAAGGGAAGAGTAGTGGCATGACAAGCTTTTCTCCCCCTATTTACAATTGGATGACTCAACTTATAGCTGATAAATACGGGCATAGTGCCTCTGTTCAGAGAAAGTGGCCTTAGCTTGGTCCCAAATCCCCTTTGTTGTTTCAGGCCACATAAATTTCTTTCTTAGGCTGGTGTGAATGGAGATTACAAGCCAAGACATAATCAAATAATTGTCTTGATCCCACTTATCACAGGCTGTACCAGCCTCTTTTGGTTAAGGAACATCCCCAAACAAGTGCCCATGCTTTCCTCTGAATCCAACATACAGTTTAACACTTTTAGGCAATTCCAAATAGTTCAGTTCATTAAGGACAGTAATAGTAATAGGAAAACCCTAGCTTTCAGCCTCTGGACTGACCATATTCTGACCTCTAGTGACTTTGGATATGACTGAATCATAAGTTGACATTGTCTATGCTCAGTAAATATAACAACCCACAAGTAACTTGCACCAGAAAAAGGGAACAAAATCAACAAGAGAAGAAACCAGGTCTGTTTTCCAATTTACAGTCCACTGTAAGCAACTAAAAATGCACAGAACTCCTTCCACAAGAAGTAGATAGAAATATAGAATACCTTTAAGCAACCCCAAGCCAAAAACAAGAGAAAGAACCCTTCAGCTGAACTTCACAGGTTAAACACTGCAACATCTTTGAATTTCAAGTAGAAAAAACACTTCCAGCACAACTGAAGGCCAAAAAGCAGACCTGGATATGAGAGATCCAAACAACAAGGCTTACCACTCAGCTGATTGGACCTCAAACCACACAACCATGGAGAGCACTGAGAGTCACCTCTCCACACACTCAAACCTCCATCACAAAATACAAGGGAAACACCCAAGCAATTACTTAAAGAGAACTGAAGGATTAGCTGAATATAGGCCCATAGTCCATGGTGTATTAGAGTTGTTGTGGCTTTATTCTCTACTTAAAGAGAACTGAAGGATAAGCTATATGTGACTACTGTCTTGTACTAAAGAAAATCCTAGCCTCGTCTGGTCATGGGAGCTCAACTCTGTGCATCACCTTTGCTGTGCACTTCTACCATTCAATGAGGAATTTTTAGTAACGCATTATCATCATTTTTTTTTTTTGTATTTTTCTGTGGATTGTAAGGGGTGGTATTGTCCTTACTCAGATAAGCTAGAAAGCAAGAAAAATTAGCCATCAATTTTGATCTTTCTTCCTTTTCTCTCTCATCTTGTGGAATCCAGACATGATCTAGATTCCAGATAGTTTTTATGGGAGAAGACCTAAAAGTCATTTGTGCAAGCAAACCTAGTTTGACAGGTCAACTAGGACATGTTTCAATCCATATTTCAAGCATTTTCTTTTTATGTTTTTTTTTTCTGGTTCTATTTTTGCTATTAGCTTCCAGCAAGTGATTTTATTTGGAAAAGCCCTCTCGGGTCAGTTTCTGGTATTTTTTAGGAGCTTTGATCTCCTAGAATTTGTTTGATTTCAATTCTCGTAAGCAGTGTTGTCTCAATGGCTTTGGATGAAACTGAGTTGATATCAGTTTGGTTTGATGGACTGAACTACAGCATGTGGTGTTTTTTGGTTTCAATTTTATGTGAAAGGAAAAGGACTTAGGGAGAATTATTGGGGAGCCACATACTACACAGGCTATGCTTAAAGGGAAAAATGAATCAGAAGTGGCTTCTGTAGCACACACAACCAAAGGCAAAGGGGATGAATCATGAATGTATGTGATTTCTCTTGCCTTCATTGTCACGAATGCAAAGAATTTGATTGTATTGCATTTGCCTCTCATTGCAAGCAAAGGCATTGTTCTGTGTCTTGCAAACGTCATGGACACGTAGTAACTGAATGTAGAATCAAAGATCCTCTCAAAATTCTGGTTTTATTTCTGAATATAGGATCATATCTTATATATTGAATGAAGGTGGGGTAGATTGCAGAAATTCCCTTTCCATAGGCACCTCATATTTTCTCTCCTTAGACCAGTATCCTAGCCATTTCCAAGTAGACCATATATTCTTTGAATTACCTTGTGCCAAAGAGAAATTGATTCTAAAAGGACCCTTCACAATAATTTTCGAAGGAGAGTTTTTGTTTTCATCTTACATCCTCTCCACAACCATATTTACAGAGTTGTGTCTTAATAGAAGAGTGCCAACTAGTACTATGGCTACTCAACCCATAGAACCCACCTTACCTGTTGTTTGGGTCAAGAGCTTGTGAAACATAATAAGTTGAGGTGGCAGGCTCTTCTGCAAACACCAAACAGGGGTCTTTTATCAAGACCAGACAGCTTAGTAGGAAAATTAAAAATGGACATAAAAAAAATAAATTTTGTTCGAGTCCTGTGCCATTATGTGCATATCCCATGGGAGAATCTATGTTTGCAGTGCTACTATATTTACTTCCTCTTTTTATAATGGTTTGTGGTTATTGAACATGATTAGTTTATAGTCAGCATTTGTATATATTGTAGTATCTTAGACAGTACTCTTTTTTGCTTGAAGATGTCACATGCACCCAGAATCTTTGTTTACAATGCTACTAGATTTCCTTAATCTTTTCTATAATGTTTTATGGTTTAGTTTATTGAACGTAATCAATTTTGAGTTACAATTTGTATATATCATAATATCCTAGAATACTCCCACTGATAAAGATGTCACTAATGCTCCTAGAACTTAATCTTCATTTATTGTGGAAGAATCTCCCTTACTCCCATCATAAGATCCACCTTCTCATTTTATTGAAAGATTTTCCTCCACCTAAGGATATTCTTCCATGTTGGCCTAAGCCAGTCAAAATTTGTTCTGTTTTGCCATGGAAAACATTACTCCCTTAAGAATCCCTGCTCAAAGGCCAGGCTACCGTTATAGTTTTACATTTCTGCAGTTACAAATAGTTCCTAAAACTAACCCAATTGGATTGTTTTTTTTTTTTTGGTAGAATAACCCAATTGGATTTATGTTATATTCAGGCCTACAAGAGTAGCAGATGCAGAAACAGAGACGAACCCCATAGACAGAACTGTTGCTCATTTGCTATTTCACAGGCCCTTGGAAATACCTGCAAAGCATGCCCAGGATGGTGAAGTGCTTAAATCACCCGTTTCTACTAAGCTTCCATCTGGACCAAAAATAGATGATCTAGTGAACCTGCCCGTGGGATCCCTATCAGAGAGTTCAACAGAAAAACTAAGTATCTCTCACCAAGGACCTAATTCATCTTGTGCATTGGCTAAGCCCCAGCGTGGGGATCAATTTATAAGCAGGCCCTGCATGAACACTCCCGAGATTGCACCCAGCAGTGAACCAGAAAGTGGTAAAGCTTTGGAGGCTGAAGCCTCAAAAGAAGGAAAATGAACTGATCTATGGGTAATTCCTTCCTTTATCTCTTCCATACATATTGGTTTCCTTTTATTCATCATTATACGGATTTGCTGGTAATGAGGAATTTTTCTTTCATTGTCAGCGAACTGTATCTTGGTAGATTATGGATTTTGGAGGCGCAAACATTACCTACCTCAACAAGGGAAGCGTTCAACTTTATGCATGCAGGAAATGATTCCTTGGCATGTATTTCTTATGCATAATATCTATCCGCATCTATGTCTGTTGTCTTCTATCCAAAAGATTGGCATGTATGTGTGTGAAAATAACTCTGTTGCTGATTACACTTGTAGTGAATTCAATATTTAGTATATCCAAGGATGTAAACAGGGGAGAACATCAACTTAATAAGGATTTAGTGTGTTTTGTGTAATAGTATGAGCGACTTTTTGGACTAAGCTTTTGTCTGTATGCAAGCTGATTATGCAATGCATCTAATCAAAATAGTTCTCTTAGTAGTAGTGTAATTGATTGATCAAGAGATCCCTATGCAGTTTTAGAAAGTAAAAAACCTATCCCTATACATCATTCCATTCTTACATTTTGTGCACTTTAGATTACCTTCTCTTCAACAAAACATGGAATCATGGATTGCTAAAATAATTATAACAACACGTCTAATATACTCATTATAGTTTGAGTTAATTATATATTATGTTCATAATTGTTTTCTTTAGTTTTCATAATAAACAAATAAACATAAACACTATGTAAAAACTATAGTTCAACCTGAGTCGGGCCCATGAATGAGTGCGAACCAAATGAAGCCTTTGTTTAATGGGAAAGGTTCTTTACCACACATAAGGCCAAAGATAACCGTATGAAAGTTGACTTGGCAAGAGTCTTTCTCTAACAACCTGCATCTCTACGTGTAATTTAACTAAATATAAATACTGTGTATCAGGCTAATGTTTCACAACAAGCAGAGAATCGGAATCCCATTAATTTGGTAAAACGTAGGGGTTAGTGCTCCATACCTGAAATTTTAATGTTCCCTTACGCTGTGTTCGGTTTGAATGAAAAGGAAGGGGAAGGTTAGTACCCCAAACCTATACTTTTCTTTCAAACCAAAAACCACCTTAATTTTTCTGTCAAGCCAAAGCCCATGATTGGCCCATACCCAATTACCCTCCCAAGTTGCACCTAGCCAAGTAAAATCTTTATTTTGTGATGAAGACCCCACTAAAACATTTCATCGGTAATCATGGAGTGTTTAAAGGCATAAGCCCCACCAAATCCTGTGAAGTTTGAGGTTTCAGACTTTCAGCACTGTACTTAGAGTTCCATTCTGCTGACCAGAAGACATTATTGGCCACGTTCACTCAACTATACATAGGGAACATCGGTTGCACTTGAAGGTGGCCAGAAAGGTGTTGTGGTCAGCAGATCCAAACTCTTTGCTTAGTATTCCATCATTACTCCATAGTCATGGAATATTTTTTTAAACATTTCTAAAACTTCAAATTATTATGATACCATTTTTGTCCTTTTAAATTTATAAATCCTAATTCTCACATGTTTATCTCAACATTTTTTTTCAATAAAATCATCTTGATAACAAGACAGATCTCTTCCAAAGGAAAAGCTGGCACACACACTACTGGGAATATCTTCCTATAAATTTAAGGGTTAAATACTTAAAAGTACCCCTATCATTTAGCAAATGGGCAAAAACGTATCCTACTGTTTGAAAAAATTGCTTTAGGTACCATTAAGTTTTTTGACAATAGACATCGCCAGCAAGTATTGATAGAAAATAGTGAAATATCAAATTTGTCCTTCATTATTTTTTAAATTTCCAAAATAAAATCCAACTGATAAAAAAATCAAGAACTGTAAGAGAGTCTAAAACCCGTCTAATACGTCATCATTCACTAGAGAATCCCCACCTACCCAAATGGCTTCCTCCAAGCTTAGAAGTTCTTTCTCCTTTCCCAATCTCCTCCTATCATCCCTCAGTTTCATTCTGTTCATCCTATCAATAGCCTCATTCCCTCCCATTTTTCTGCTGAAAAATCCCCCTTCTTCGCTCGGTTGGGCAATGGGTGAAAATTGATTTTGAAGGCTAACGTAAATTTATAACAAGGTGTGGCTATGTGATGAGGTATTCCTTCATTTGGGAGTCACTATGGGGCGGCCATGGGAGAAGGTTTCGAAGTACAAGTACTTTTTGTACATTTTTTGGTAATACTTGTATTCAAGTATATGAAGCCAGTGCTTTATGGCTTTCCATATGCTAATGTAAAGCTTGAGTTGTGTGTGTTGTTGATGTGTGATGAAATTCGTATCTTTGTTTTTTCTTCAACGTACTCTCACGGGTTCTGTGATCTATAATTGCCGCTCTTCAGTGATGTTTATTTTGTTAGTTCAAATGTAGCCACTATTTGAGAATACATTGCAGTTGGGTTTTATTTTGAAAATTTAAAGAATAATGAAGGGCAAAATCGACCATAAAAATGATAATTTTGGAATTAAAAAAATTATATGAATCACATGACACCATAGGCAAACGGATTATAACAGTGCACTAACGGTAAAGAGGATTTTCTCCATTCTGAAAAAACTTAAGGGTCTTTGGGTAAGTTTTTTGTCCATTTGTTAAATCATATGGGTATTTTAAGTATTTAACCCTAAATTTAATATACATATACAAGAGAAATTCTTAATGTGTGGTGGGATGCCATGTGTACATTGTCTTTACTTGCAAAAGATCCTGGCTGCTGGAGAGCACTTCCAAAATGATCAATTCATTTTAAGACCTTAAATACGATTCATGCTTTAAAATAATTATTGCCGAATTTGCATGCGTGCCCCACAGCACATCCAAATCGTGTATTGGGAACATCTTTTATACCACAGGATGTGCATTGGGTAAGGGTGTCAATGGACCAGTTCTAGATTGGACCCCATCTAGTCCAAAATCAATTTAAACAGATTGGATGGACCAATAAGACACACTGGATTGAACCAATCCGGTCCATATTTATTAGATTGGACTAGACCTGGTCCGTCCGTAATAAATTTATATTGGATTGGGTTGGATTAAGGCAATATCTGGTCCATTGACATAAGATAAGAGTATAGGTGTCAATGGACCGGTTTTGGGTTGAAACCAATCTAAAGTAAAACGAATTTGAACAAATTGGACAATCCAGACATTGAATTGGACTGGTCCAAAATGGTTCAAAATATTCATTGGATTGGATTGGACCTGGTCCATTTGTGATGGACTCACATTGGACTGGATCGGATTGGACTAAATCCAGTCCAATTGACACTCCTAGCATTGGGAATTTGGTGGATGTTCCCAATGCATGCTGAGATGTGCATCTGGGGCATTGTGGGGGCCAATGTAAACTCATTATTGCCCACTAATTTTTTTTTAAACAAACAACAAACATCAACTTTTCATTACTAGACTTAAAAACTTTGTACAGGTATTCCCTGCTCAAGTATATGAACATATGTCTTTCTTTCTTTTTACAAGCTGGGAAAGCAAGTTGATGTGCCATAATATTTTCATTCCTATTTACATAGACTATACGACATATATCAAAAAAAGAAAGTTCAAAACATGTTCTTTTAATATCCTTTTAGACCATTGACACTCCAATTGAGGTTGGTTAATTTGCATGATAACGATTTCAGCATCAGAAAACACAACAGTCCCGAGCAAACTTCAGAGCTCGTACAACTGCCCACCATTTAGTCTCACCATTACTCTTTGCACAACAATGATAGTCAGAGGCAAAAACAACATTATTGGTATTAGCATAGTTTTAAAAATCGAATTGGAAATGGAATTGTTTTGGCCACTGGTTTCTAGGTCAGTGGTTTGACCGCCCAAGTCAACTGGTTCAAATATTTTAAGAGTAAATCATATCCTATCATTTAGATTGGACTATTAAGGTATGATGAATATAAATATTATGAGAAAGGAGATAAGAGTGATAATGAGAGGAGGGTCTGTTGGCTGAGAGAAGAAGAAGAGAGGAGGAAGTAGAGGTATGGCCATGTGGGTGACCTATAGCGGCAATGGCGACAGCGACTTCGCAGCAGTGATGGTGACAGTGTCTTGCAGTGACAACGGATCTCTCTCTCAAATCGCTCTTGCAGATCTGTAATGTGATCCCCCCCCGCTAGATCTTAGAGATCAATCTGTTTCTCTGTTTTTTTGTTATTTTATTTTTTTGAAAATTTTAAATAAAGTGTATTGGATTGCAAACCATTTCCTGAGTCGAACAGATCAACGGTCTGACAATTCGGGTCAATGGTTTGTTTACCAATTCAATGTTTTTTGATAAATTAACGGATTAGCATGAAAACAAAAACAATGTCTTAATCGATTTCCAGACTGAACGGTCTGACTGTCTGGGTCAAGGACAGTTTTAAAACCATGATTAATAGCATTTTAGATCATCAATGTCGTTGCAGCATATCTTATTTCTGGTTCATACAAGCCATCAACACAATTATTATTTATTATTATTGTTATTATTTGGGATGAGCCTTTTGCAAGGAATTCTCCCAATCACTTGACAAGATTGCTGCAACAACTTGTTTTGAGTTTGGTTTTTAATTATGAAATAGAACTCTATTACTCGCATCCCATATGGAGCACAAAACTGTAGTTTAGCTTCTCCTCTTCGTTAGTCGTTAGAGTCATTAATTTTTGCTGTACACCCATTTATCTTCCCCTAGGTTGAGACCTAATTTTGTAAGGGCAACCAAATTGGTCAAGTGAAAAACAAATGATTGAAATTCATTGCCATCTGTTTACAACAAGATTTATATCTTCCTCTTCTTCCAAGAATGTTAAGGACTCCCTCCCCAAACTCCCAAGGACTTTCCACATGCTAGTCTTCCATATTTCATTCCAACTTACTACTTGTTTAGAAGTGGATGGGTATTTGCTTATGAAAATCCTATAAGCAAAATTAAGAGTATTTCCCTTCCACAAAATCTAAATCTTGGTTCAGCCTTGCATGCAAAATATGTTTAACAGATTCCTCCTATTCAAAATATATTAAGACACAGCAATCGTGTATTCAACAAGTCCTTTACCTTTTGGTGGAATTTGGATCATTGGATTTTGTTGATGACGGGAACTCCTCCATGCAAAGTGGGAACCCACAGGTCAGTTTGTAGGAAAATCTGTTCTTCATTTTTAATTTAACAAAATAGACTTATTTTGAGTTCATCCATGATCCAACACTTAACTTTGCTTCCACCAAATAGAATCCGATGAAATCTTTGTGAGTGAAAAAATTGACTTATTTTTAAAATATTTCTGTCTAATGACCCGAACCCAAACAAACTCCAAACATATCTTTGTTCATTTCGGCCATCACCTGTCCATCACAAATTAGTTGTTTGTACTTAGTTTCCATGTAGTTAAAACCAGGGAGGCAGGGAGAGGGATCAAAATGAGATTGAGACGGTTGTTGATTTCGAGTTCGGAGATTTACACTTGTCCAAGAGCAAATCTTTCTCCTTTGACAAATGGCAAGTGGCCAAGTGCTAAGTAGGCGTTTTCAAATTTCAATAACCGGGCTATCCAAAAACCATTTTGTCTGCCGGTTCTCGGTTCGATCCGACTCCGATAACATTGGATGAAAAATTGTAAATTGAAAAACAAAGACTTCTTTTCAGTTTTCACATTTCAGGGTTTGAGCGAACAGCGAAGAAGCCATGGCCGATGATGCTACGGATACGGAGCACAAAATTATTGCAGTTGAAGGTGTTGATGCTGGAGATGTGGAGGTGGAGCCGGAGAATGTTTGTTCGAGTGGAGAAGTCTCATCTAGTGGCGAGGCGGTGCGGGAAGTAGGAACAGGCGGAGAAATTCTGACCAGAGTGGAGCTTGATTTGGCATATTCGTCTGAGAAGTTGGTGAACTTGGACATGCTTTTGATGCACGTCGCCGCTAGGGAAGGCGATTTCGAGGCTTTTTCTGTAGAGAATGATGATATTGAAGCTGACTCTGCTAAGAAGGCCTTGGAGTTTCATCTCTTGTCCGGAATTTTAGATTCAGAGGTTAGAGAATTGGATGGTTTCATGGATTCTCTTCAGTTGGAGATTGTGGATGCTCGTCGGAGAATATCTTCGTGCGAGCACCCAGGAGAATTTTTTCTTGAAATGGAGGCGAAGTTGCACGACTCTGAAGAATCTTTGAAGCAGTCAAAAGATCAGGTGCGTGAGATGATTGAGCAATCTGCGAAGTTCCAAAGGGAATTATCAGCTTTTGGTGAGCAAAAAAATTGTAAGTTTGATAACTTAACTTTCGAGAGAATTGCTGGAATTCAAGCATAAGATGAAGATATTGATAAGGAAAGCTTAGTTTCTGATTTTCCTCTTGTTGATTACTGTTGACAGTGGATGATGGCAAGGGTGCAGATTTTCCTGAAAGTGGTCAACTTTCGGACATGAATGCAGAGTTAAAAATGCAGACTGCCGAACAACAAAGGCATATCCTTAGAATGCTGGAGAGATCTTTGGCGAGAGAGCTAGACCTTGAAAAGAAGCTAGCTGAGTCAAGACAAAATAAAGAAGAGATGAAATTAAAACTGCATTCTACAGAACAAGAACTACTATGCATGGAAGAAGCAGAAAAAATTACTTCTTGGAGGTTATTTGAGGCAGAAAATGCCACCGAGGTATTAAAGGGAATCACGAAAGAACTTATGGGTCGACTTCAAGTTGTTCAATTCAATCTGAATGGTTCGATTCAACGAGAAGGTGAAGTCAGATCTAAGCTTCAAGACTGCATAGAACAGCTGAAGGCCAAGGAAAGTGTTTTGCAGAAGCTTGAGACCAGCAATGCAGAGCTTGACAGTTTCCTACTCACAGAAACAAACCGCTTAAAAGCCATTCTGAAGGAGGCTGAAAATAGATATATTTCTGTCAATTCTGAAGCCTTTACTTTGAGAGAAAAGGCAAGTGTGCTAGAGGAGCAGCTAAAAGAATCTGAAATCCAACTACACATCGCAAAGGCTGAAATTGAAGCAAGTCAGGAGCAGCATGATGCTTTATGTTCTGAACTCAGTGAAATGGATAACACAATTGAAGACCTGAAAAAAAATCTTTCTAAGGCTGTGAACAGAGCTGAGAGTGCAGAAGCCAAGTGTAAATTGTTAACAGAAACTAACTTGGAACTTAATGAAGAGTTGGGATTTCTTAAGAGTGGTGGTAATAACATGGAGAAGAAGAACTTAATTGAGAGGCAGCTGAGAGAATATGAAGTTGAACTACAAAATGCAAAAGCGTCTGCTGAAGCAAGTCAGAAGCAGCAGAATATGCTGTATTCTATGGAAAATTTAATCAAGGATCTGAAGTCCAAGGTGTCAAAAGCTGAAAGCCAAACTGAGAGTGCAGAAGCTAAGTGTAATCTATTATCTGAAACTAACATGGAACTTAATGACGAGATTAGTTTTCTGAGGAACAGAATGGAATGTTTGGAGTTGTCTTTGCATCAGGCTGATAATACTAAAATAGCAACAGCGAAGGACATTAGCATTAGAACCAAAGTAATAGTGGATTTGGTCATGCAACTAGCCTTGGAAAGAGAACGTGTCCAGAAGCAGGTATTGCATTTCTCTTTCATAGTTTTTAACTGTCTATAACTTGCCACAGTCCCCTTATTCCTGCCTTGCATCTTTTATGTGCTGTGATGTACTGATCTCTTACTTTATGATATTTCATTTGAAAGAAATACATTTAAAGGGATACAAATTGAAAAGCCAATTAGAATTGGCTTAGAAAAATAATAAGGTAATAATCAAGTCAGGACTTGGTAAAGCAGCCAAATGAAAGAGGAGAGCCAATTCAGATTAGAGAAGTGGAAGGAAAGGCAAAAATCGTATGAATTACCATCTTTGTTGTACATCATTTTCTGGCCTACACCTTTAAGCTTGTGAAGGATGACATGCTGCTGGTTAGTGGTGTTATGCTGGAGAGGGGTAGTCATGTGGAATTTACTTTATTATTGAAAAAAAAAAAGACTTTTGAGTTATGATCTTCACCCAACTAGTCTTATTGTAGTGCATACAAAATTATTAAAAAGGTAAGTCTCTCATGCTGAAATCAGTTTTACAAGTTGTTAGCCCTATGCAAATGGCTTTTATAGAAGGAAGACAAAGAATAAGAAGAATGAAAAATCTTGGATGGTATTTTTATAGAAAGCAAATGGGTTGACTCTAGATTGAAGTGTGAGGAACCAAGTCTGATTTGTAAAATTCATCTTGAGAAGGCATGCAATCACATTGAGTGGGGATATTTTCAAAGAAGCTCTATACATAATGGGTTTTGGAGAAGAGTGGAATTGGACATTCTCATGTGTTTCTTCAGTTTTATTCTAACTTTTGTATATGGGTCATTTAATGAATTCCTTTGAACATCTAGAGGCATTCACCAAGGTGATCCTCTATCTCCTTTTTTTATTCGTTTTGGTGATTGAAATTCTTAGTGGAAAATCAAGTTAGGGGAGAAATTGGACCATTGAAGAATTTAAGCTGGGTACAGATAGTCCAATTATTTCTCATCTGTAGTATGCTGATGATTCACTGGAGTAAGCTTTGAAAGTCTAACAGGCCTTAAGGTGAACTTGGGCAAGAGTGTCATGTTAGGAATGGAAGATATTGATGATTATATTTTTGAACATTTTTCTGTTGTGTTGATGATGTAGGATAAATAACCAACATTCCTAAAATCACATGGTGAATGTTGAAAATAGAGTGTTGTAAAAAGGAGGAAAAAGAAGACAACTAGGATGATGATTGGACTTGTGCATAGGAAGATTTGGGGATAGGTCTAAATAGCTGAAGATTGGTGAAGGAGACTAGGATTTCATGGAGGGAGAGGAAATATTCTAAAATCCTACATATTCAGAATTTTAAAGAGTGAGACAGAAGGATTTTTGATGTCTTAAGGAAACAGGATGGTTTGAAAAAGTAGGCTAAATGGAGTTTGTGAATGGGTGAGAGATACTTGGGGAGTTAAGACACTTCAGCTCCCCTCCTTTGTAAGCTTATTCCTATTTAATGAAATTTGCTGTATTGATAAAAAAGGGTGAGAGATAGATGGGGTTGTCCTGTAGAGTGGTTTTGATGGAACCTTTCTAAGGTCTCATCCCAACACTTACATCAATTACTTTTTATATCAATAACAGAAACTCATATTATTAAAAAACATGACTACATACAGCACTCCGGGGAAAGATAAAATGACTTAACTCTCCCCAAGAGAACAAGAAAAAGAGATTACAAATTAGCCCAAATCATTTGATCCCTTCACACCCCCTGCTTTGCCAAAGTATCTGCAAAGGCATTTGCAGTTCTCTTCACCCAATGAAACTGAACTTGCAATCCCCTGGATAACCACTTAACCTCCCTCCTCTCATTGGCATATTTCCAGAGTCCATTGTCGTTCCCTAACCAGTTTAGAACCAGCTTTGAGTCTCCTTCAACAACTAGCTTTTGAATATTCAGCTCCTTTGCCTTCCTTAATCCTTCCATTAAAGCATACATCTCAGCTCTAAGAGAGTCACCGACCCGACCCCAATGGGACCTGCGTACACTGCAACCACCTTTCCATTTACATCTTTGAAAACACCTTACTCCTGAAGGTCCTGGATTTCCCTCACTACTACCATCAAAGTTTAACATTATAAAACAAGAGGCCGGTGGTGACCACAGAGGGCACGCAGTTGAATGAGCTGGTGCAGAATTTACCACCTCCTTCCCACTGCTAAGCAGCATACTCGTGGAGACATCAGCAAACAGATCCAAAGATTTTAGCCATTGCACCATCCTAACTGTTACAACTTCAATTATGTCTTCTTACTTTCCTTTTCAGAAAAGGTCCTTGAATTCCTTTCCTCCCATAGAGTCCAACATATGGCATCTCACACACATCTCAATTATAATTTATTATTTTATGCATTTTGTTGAAACTCAGATTTACCAAAATACTAAGCATGCAATGGTCTAGATTGCCCATCCCCGAATTGCTCTACCAACAAATCTGGACTGCTGGACTTGAAGCTGAGGCTTTGTTTTGTTTTAATTTTAATTTTTTTTTTTACTTTATTCCCAACAAGCAATATGTAGATCAAGTAAAATAAGTGATCACAAATCAAAGTCTAACATTTCAAAAAGTTCTACTTCTACATATGTCTCGATCTAACACGTATGTCCAACACACATGGTCCTCTGTGTAGATACACTAGGACTAGTGTTCTCCATAATTGCAAAATTAGATATCTAGGACTAACATTGGGTGATAACTTCTTTTATTTTCATCAAAGAATTTGAGATGCAAACACAAGGTTATACTTTCTTCTAACTGCAATAACTTCATTCTTCCATGCTTTTTTTTTTTATTTTGAAAAAATTATGAATAGATTTCTTATATGATTTTTGTTTTGTTGTAATAAATTACAGCTTTGAGAATAAAGAAATTAACTATTGCATTTGCATTTTCCTGGGGTTTTTTGAGTGTCTAAGTTAATGTTTATAACTAAAATATGAAGTATCCATTATATGCAGTTAACTTCATTGATGGAGGAGAACAGAATTTTGGCACAGAAATTACAGTATAGAAAGAAGGATGTGGCTAAGGCTATGAGCTATGATGTGAATGGAAATGATAGAAAAATTCTATTTTGCAAGGATAGTTTGGTTACAGATACTTCTACAAAATCACCCAAGGAAGTAATAATAGAGTCTTCAGCTGCTAGTTTCCAGGTAGGTACTTCTGTGGATCTCTTATAACTTTGTGGTGAAGCTACAAATCCAGTTTTTTCTTCTTTTTTTCTTCTTTCTTTTTTTAATGAGTGGTGCAAAACTATAGTACCATGTTGCAGAAAGGACAACCTCAAGAGGTACATCAAACTTTACGTGGTTGATGATTTAGAATGATGTGTATTTTACATGTATATCCATATTAATGAAGAATCGAAAATTATATTTTCACATCTCTTCCTTAAGTGGTTGTGGGATAATCCTTCAAAATTTTTAGGAACTATGCCCAACAAACTGGCATTATCTTGGTCCTCTCAATCAAAATAACAGAGCCCTTTTACCTTTAAAATTTCAGTTGTTTCTCTCTTTCCATATGCACTGATACAAGGTGAAAGGAAAATGGTTCCTCCTTCACTGAAGCCCTTAGCCATGAGGCAATCAGAATAGGAATGAATGGCACCACTGAAAGATCAGTGTTTACCAATATACCTTTGGCAGACTAGAAATCTGACCTTCATCAATACTTAGGAAAATTCCTTCTCAATTCCAATAGATAAAATATGAAAATATAAGATGGAAGTTTTGTATTATTATACCATAAAAAGGATATTAATCATGGTTTCAAATGTCGCGAAATTTCGCTAATGTTGCCCGACATATGTCGGTGTCGAGGCTCACCGACATGAAAATGGATGGTAATATAAAAATTACATTATTTCAGTCGACATTTCCTATATTTCGGAAATGTCAACCAAATCGGTCCAAATAACCAAAAAAAAGACAGTTTTTCCTATTATGTCGATAGGATGTTGACTAATGTACACTAATAATATAATATATTAGTATATTATATTAATATAAATTATTCCATTAATAATTTATTTATAAAAAAGAATTCACAAAAAATAAAAACAAAAGAATAGATTAATTACTTTATAATATAAAACATAAAATATTTTTCAAGTAATAAAATATTAACTAGTTAGTATTCTTAAAATATTTATTAAAATCAGAAAATGTTTATTAAATTTTAAATAAATCATATTCTAAATTAAATATAAAAAATGAGAATAAATTTATTAAAATTTATACTAAAACATAATTTATTCTAAATTTAGTATTAAAAATCATAATAAATTCATTAAGTTTTATAAGAAATCAGAATTTAGCATAATCTTAATACTACAAAAAGGAGAATCAGTGTATTAAATTTATAATAAAACATAATGTATTATAACTTTAATATTTAAAAAATCAGAATAAATGTATTTCTATTTACTAGTGTGAAATAAATATATTAGAATTTATAATAAATCAGAATTAAAAATAAGAAAAGAAAATATTGGATAACCTTGTAAAAACATCAAAATGCATAATAAATCAGTAAATCGTCATTTNAACATCAAAATGCATAATAAATCAGTAAATCGTCATTTACTAATTTGTTATTGATCTTAGTTTCTTAGCTTTATATAATGGTTGGGAATAAGATAATAGTCTAGAAATATGCATGAATGCTTCTTTTATCATTTTACAAAATATCATTGCATATTTCCCAAATGTCTCTAATTTTTACAATATTTCCCCTCGACATTTCCAACATATGCCCTATATTTTGGTAAGCGACATTTCCATTGACATCGACATTTTAAACCTTGATATTAATCTGAATTTGTATTGTTATGTAAGCTATCTTTGAGCTAGCTACATGTACATTATGTAGAGGTGGGGCCACTACTCGTGAGTTTAGGAGATCAAGGTGGGATGTAGAACTGATTTTGGGCTTGCCAAATTTGAGCCAATTTGGGTGTATTAGCATGATGATGTAGGAAAAGTAGTCCTATGGGAGCTAGGTAGACTGAACAATTAAAGGAATGACTCTATAAGGTAAATTTCTGCTTTAGGAGAGCTTATGAGAATTACATAAGATGTATAATTGGACCCATAAAGATTTCTGGATCAGATTTGACAATTTATTGGACCCTGGAGTAATGGAATCTGCAAAAACCAAGAAAGTAGGTCTGGAAATGGAATTTTTCTATGAAATTTTGCATGCAGATTTAGGATATTAGAAATATAAATGAATCCATCAATGATCTTTTAAACTCATTGATCTAACAACAATTTAACGTGTCTTGTAGTGAACTCTCAAACATTATTTTATGTATTATTATTAGTAAAATTATTGCATGATATGTTCTAGACTCCCAATATTGTGGATTGTAATGTATCTCTTCATATAAACCATGAAAGTTTGCATTTCTTATGTGTTTATACCTTATCCATAGTTATTTCAACTTTAGATTTATCATTACTAACGTATTTGTGGGATTTGTAAGAGTTTCCTCAATGTATCTAAACATATACAAAACATATTGCTATGTATCCATATCCAAGCTTATTGATATGATACACAATATGTCAATACCAATACTTATAATTTGAACCTTGCTATAGGGTTGGTACAAACATTTAACCACCGTACAAGGGGTGTCTCAGCTAGCTGGGCCTAGGTGAGAATGGCCCTTGGACCAGATATATTAGATATACATCCTACCTAGTGGACCTAGCCTGTTAGCAACTATTGCGTTGTACAGAACATTCTTTTAGATTCCTAGGGCTGAAGATTTGAGACAATCCCAGAAGCATAATATTAGTTGATCACTTGATCACTTGTTATGTGCAGCTACAACCCTTCAGAACTGTATGTATACACATTCTGCAGTCTTAGGGTTAAGATTTCTCCAAGATCCACAAGCAAGAAAAATAACATCTGGATATTTAACATATCAAACCCAGTCTTTTCCCAAGATAAAGATAAAACATAATCTAATGTAACTTGTTAGGTTTGACAACACATTATCATTGTTTGTATCATGTATAATCTGTTTTGAACATGGATTTCCTTTAATTGCTTTTGTTTGAGCTATTACCGTTCATTTCTGAAGTTGGTTTCAGACATTGAATGAATTGACAAGTGGTAGGCAAATGGACTATAAAACAGGGAGTAGCATTCCCCAAGACCCCTATACCCCCCACCCTGATGAATGCGGGACTCAATCCCAACTTGTTGAGACACAAATAAAGGGAATACAAGTGTACAAGAAAAGGCCACGCCAGCCTTTAAAGAATGTAACTAACAGCCAACAACTAGAACAAATTAACTAACAAACTGGACAAGTGGAGAGGCGGGTATAACAAAATTGTAACAGCAGTATATAAATAAGGAAAGGAAGCTAGGAGGGGATTATCGATTTGGGAATACAATCTCTCTTTCTCTCTCTCTCACTCTATCTATCTCTCTCTCTCTCTCTCTCTCATTCAGGAGGCAGACTCCCTCGAAAGAGTCCCTGAGTTAGGCAGTTCCTAACAAGTTGGTATCAGAGCCAAGATGCCAAGCACAAGGTCATCCGCAATGGAGAACAGAGTCGACAACATGGAAGGAGAAATGCAAAGAATATCGGCTGACGTCAAAGAAATCAAAGAAAGCTTCGCATCCTTGCTTGAACGACTGGCACAGGCACCACCTGCGCTGAATCAGGAAGAGCGCAGTGACACCAGTCATTGAAGCGGATCAAGAACAGCAAGAATCGAGTTTACCATCTTCGCAGGGGGAGATCCCACATCCTGGCTTCTGCGAACAGAAAGATACTTCGATTACCACGACACATAGGGACCTGATCGTGTCCCATTAGCTTCTGCACACCTGGAAGGAGAGGCGATCGTCTGGTACCAGTGGTACCGGCGATGGCACCCAAGAGCCACATGGGCAGACTTCACCAGCGCCTTAACCATGCGATTTGGAGTCTCGGTCTTTGAGAACTATGATGAAAGCCTCGCTAAGCTACGACAAACCGGCTCCGTCCAAGATTATCAGATGGCATTCGAAAGATTAGCTGTGCACGTGCAAGGCTGGCCAGAAAACACGCTTGCCGGCAGTTTTGTTGGTGGACTCAGGGAAGAATTGCGGCTGGAGGTAAAAGCCATGCAGCCCACCACCGTTCTTGAAACAGCACCATTAGCTCGACTACATGAAGACAAACTGAATCAGGCAAGAAGGATTAATCAACCTCTGGGAGCTGCGATTATACCAGGTATACCGAACCCAGAACCAGGTATCTTGGGTAAACTGGAGCCCAGATCAGGAGTAGGAATCACAGGCAATGATGCAAACTCTGGTTCAGGCCCCGGCTTAGCCAAGAGGTTAACTTGGGTTAAGATGCAAGCCCGACGGGAAAAGGGCCTTTGTTATGCATGTGGAGACAAATTCGGGCCGGGCCATCGCTGTAAGATCCCTCAAGCTTTCTTCCTTCAACCTGAAACCGAATATGTCGAGCAATCAACAGACACTGAAGAGCCAAGGGAGAACCAAGAATGGGGGCAATGGACAAAGGAATACCCGAAAGTATCCCTGCAAGCCTTGACAAGTCTTGCTTCTTCTCAAACTATGAGAGTAACCGAACCGGTACAAGGACACCATGTGTCAGTTCTGATAGACAGTGGCAGCACTCTCAACTTCATTACCCAAACATTGGTCAGACAACTAGGGATTCCGGTCCAACCATGTACAGCCTTCCGGGTGCACGTAGCTAATGGGAGCAACCTGGTGTGCGACAGTACGTGCACAGAATTAAAGATGAAGATACAAGGACATGAGTTCGAGGTAGATCTGCACCCCCTGGAAGTCTGTGGAGCAGATGTAGTTCTCGGAATCCAATGGTTAAGGAAACTAGGGCCCGTGATATGTGATTGGGCACGTCTCACCATGGATTTTCAAGTGGGCAGCTCACAGGTGCATATTCAAGGGCAGCTGTCCAAGGGTCCAGGACCTATTAGTCTCGCCTCCCTAAGGAAA